GGTTTATAGACATAGAATATATGTATCATCTTTGTCTTGCTGCTGTTGTTGCATTTTGCTGAAAAGGAGGGTTCAGTATTGTTGTTTGTGGGGGCTCATGCCTCACGGTGCGTCCCATCCCATCCCATATGTCTTCTGTGTGTTGTTTAATCCAAATTTGTTTTCTTCTGTTATTAAATTCCAATTTGATTATTTTCTTATGTCTTTCTTATTTGGAGTACAAGCATGTTCCAAGTTCCACAGTTTTTGTTTGGTCGCCAAATCACACCCAACCAACCAAATTTGTAAACTTCGTGTCTTGTATTTCTTCTGTTCTTAGCCCCCTCACTCACCACCACCAGATGTCAATTTGGGTTGTAATTGGTTACTTTGGAGGTCATTTAAAGACTGCCCTTTTGAAATCCCACAATTATTTTCTTCATCATGCTTGGAGATTTGATGTGTAACAGATTGGCCCTGTTGGGCAGTGTTCTTGCAAGCTTTGTGACTCTGGCCAACATGTCGGTTCTAGCTTTGGCAATTCATAGTGCATCATGCACCAAATCCAATTAGTCAAGCGAAGATTATTACACATCATTTCGAAAGCATGAGTAACTACTTTTAACCCCCCAAAAAATATCTCACTAATTACTGAATAATGATGGTTTAAGGGCCACCACCATGATGATTTCATCATGAAAAAGAAAGTTAATGATTAATTTGGTTTGGATGAATGGCGAAAAACATATAATAGCAGTGGAAGATGACCAACACACTCACAAACAGTTCCATCCACAAATCAACAGCGCAGTAAAAAGGAGCATGACATCTGCAAAATCTATAGGTAGATGCTTCCTGGATCCACTTTCTTTGTGACCTCATCAACTTCGTAACATTTTTCTATGTGAAAAAGAGAAAGAAAGAGGAGGCTTTCCTCTTTGAAGTGGTCCAATGGCCCTCCATTCAGTCGATAAAAAGAGCCACTGCTTTTTTGCTTTCTTTAATTAAGCCTTTAATTATGCTGCATTTAACATAAAATCTAATATTAAACTTTGCAAATTACAACTAAGTGTGCTCATCTTACCTCATCGTGGCTTGCCATAATGTACTTTAAAAATGATCAATGGAAAGTAGAAGAAGAAAAAACTAGCCAATCAAATTCCAACATGTTTAATTTATTAGTACAAGTGACTTCATCTGATTTGGCAGATTAGGTGGGAAAGGTGAAAGCTTGCCTAAACATCAAATGGAAGCGTTGAAATTAATTTGTTCACCACTAAAGTAGCCAAAATAAAATGGTTTAATTGAAGATAAGGATGAGCAAGCTTAGTGTGTTTTTTTAAAATTGTAAAAGCGATAGTCCAAACTAGAGGGGAGGGGGTTTCTCACACAGACAACTGATGTCATTAGGGTTCGAATTTGAGACTGATTTTCACATTTATCTTTTGTCCACTTACACTTTTTTTTTTTGTTATAGTAAAAAGTATTTTTAAAAAAATAAAATGGAGTGTAAGTGAACAAAAAGGAAGTGAGAAAATCATCACCCTAGTGTTAATAATCACTTAATTAACACTAATCCTAACTGTACTTTATCAGCGGGCATGGGGTTGTTGAGAGTTAAATCATAATCACAAATGTTGGAACATCCCTAACATATATAACTATTAACTAATTACAGCAAAGAATCATTAATCGGCATCCTTAGATTCCGGAAATCAAACGCATTTGTTTATAATTTGCCAACAAATTTCATCCATCAGCGGAAACATTTAGTTAGCCCCTGTACTAATCATGCTTGTCACTTTAGTGTTACGTGCCATTTCACTACGTACCAATAATTCTTTGTTTATTATCAAATATCTTTCAACACAAAAGATTCCTGATTTAGCTTCCCACGTTTTGTTTGTCTCCGTCATCATTTTAAAAAAAAAAATATTTTCAAACTTAAGATAAATGGCGATAGTCAATGATCATTGGTGGGCTTCTAAACAAAGCGGTGGCCTTTTCTTTTTCATTTTTTGGCTCCTCCCACGGCTGCTACAGGCGTTATTCTCTTCAAAAGCCCAAAGCCCGAAGCCCATTACCTTCTACCGCAGACGCTGAAGAAGAACAACGAAGAAGCAGCACACACACCCCCACTACAGGGAGAGGCGGGGTCATTTCTTTATCAACCAAACCAAACGCCGTCGTTGTCAGCCATCAGGTACTTCTTGTGCTCCATTGATGCACGAAAATATGTATAGAATTGTCCTCTGCTGAACATTTGCTATTGCGTGCTAGTAATTTCTACATGTTTCTAGGGTTTCTGTAATTGGTTTTATTTATGCATGTTTTACCTGTTTTTTTAGTTGAATAAAAGGCGGATTTTGATCCAACAGTCGGCATTTGTTTTTGGTTTAATATGGATTTTATGAATATACTGTGGATTGTGAATCTCTCATGGATTTGATAATCTGAACCTACTGATGGTGATGCCATATTATAATTAGGTCCCTTCATTTACAAAAATTGAAAATTTAACTGATTACTTTGCCAGCTTCTTGTTCAATTTGCAACTGTTTTTTGTTTCTCATTAGTCATCTCAAGCATGACTTGGGTTGGTGCTGAATTTGATGATTTCTTAAATTATTGTTTTTTTTAAAAAAAATATATGAATTCAGTAGCCATGAAGGTGCGTTCCTCTGTGAAGAAGATGTGTGAGTTTTGTAAGACAGTTAAACGTCGTGGGCGTGTTTATGTGCTTTGCACAGCCAATCCCAAGCATAAGCAAAGACAGGGCATGTCAACATTTGCATATGAAGGCACGGTGTCTTCCATGTACGTTTCCTTTCATGCTTTCATTTCTCTTTTTTTATACTTTTATATGTTTACTTTGGCAAATTCTTCTGATTGCGTTAATCTGAAAAGGAAACATCCCATTCAGAATCTCCCATGTTAAGCACTCCGTAATCTAAGACAGAACAAAACATGTTAGACGAATTCACTCCAAATCTTCCCTAACACCTGGAGATCCCTTGCCTCTTGTAAATTTGTTGTACATAGTTCGTTGGGTGGTTTTACTAAGTGATTCTTGGATACCTCTTATCATAGGCACGCAGGTTAAGCACACAAAAGGCACTTTTCCTACCGTATGTGGACGTTCATTTGGCAGGCCTGCATAAGGTGGCCTGGAGACTCCTTTTGTATAATAAATGTTATTTAGGAGATTAGGACTTGGCAATCTCTCCATAGAGCAAAACTCATAGCGGTTACAATGCTTTTAGTCATCAATTTGGCAGAAGAGAAACAACAATTTATGGAGTCAAGGATTTAGGTTACTGCGTCGTCCAATTCTAACTTCTGAGATGGTGGTTGCCATTTTTTACACTATTGTATCTAGCTTACCTGCTCCATGTGGTGTTTTTCATGCATGTCTGTCTATAATCATACTTTTTGCTGATATGAAAGTAACTTTTCATTTTTTCATTAGTTCTGTCTGGCATATAGCATGAATTTAGTCATATGTGTAAAGATTTTAAAAACTTCAGAACATGTTAGTAGTAACCTAACACGTGAATCTGTATGTTCACAAACTGCTGCATATCTGTATGTAGATATCTCACATGCGAATCTTTCTCTTACACATGAACTTCCTATAGAAATGTGATGTGGCAATGGAGTGAAATTGGCAATTTTCTAGTTGAATGTTTGAATCCTTATCAGGTACGCAGAGACTAGTGCCAAGCTGGAGAACAGCTCTGGTCACAGCGTGCAAGCAGGACTGGCCTCTCTGATACCCAAAAAGCACGAACCCTCGATGCCCTCTATACCCTCTACGATACTTGGATGGAGGGTGGGCCTGGCCTCCCTGCTGTTCAACAAGGCCAAGTAGCTTTGAAATTTGAAATGGGAAGAATGCAAACCTTATCTCAGTTTTTAGGTTCCTTTCTTTGTTTGTGCTGCCAGATATATTCAAAATGTTATAAGCTGTTCTCTTTTTCTCTTGGATTTTAGCTTTTAATATGCTACTATATATAATACTTCCATCTCTCCCTCGCTTTCTGGTGTGTGTGTGTTTAGACTTAGCTGTGCTAGAGATTCTGATAGTAGCGACCTTACCTGCTCCACATATATAATTCAGGAAATGAGATGGCTCGAATTGTAAAGGACACTTTATCTGATTTCCTAGAAAAGAATTAGATGGTATGAAAGGGAAACGTAATTTGGATGTTGCAAGAGTTTTCTTTTCATATTCATTTTACAGATTATATGGAACCAAATTAGCGAATCCATATAAAATTATGAATTATTCGGGTAGGTCTACCCATCTCTCATAAGTCATACCTGAAAGGCGAGCCTTTATATATCTTAATTGACCAAAAAATGGCACCCAATCATGTATGTGTCTTTTCTTTCATACTCACATACCTTCATAAAAACCTAATAATATTAGTCAAGCATCAACATTGCCATCGGAGTCGTTTTATGGTAAGGGTACCATATATGGATCATAAATGTGGACTTTCATATTAATTGCATGATTCATTTAAATAGTAATTTCACTTGACTTTAATGAAATGGTCTTATGGCTAATATAAAAGTTTACATGAGAGATCCATATATGACACTTTCCCGTAGAATTTTGCCGATTAAATGGTCTTATGGCTAATATAAAAGTTTACATGAGAGATCCATATATGACACTTTCCCGTAGAATTTTGCCAATTAAGCGTCGCCTTGAGCCTTCCTGGAAATTGCCGCTCACAATCTTTAACACCCAAAAGAAAATTAAGTGCAACTAACCTTTAATCTGAAGATATTTTCCTTCTCTTCAGTCGTCCTCAGCAGCACACTGAACAAGCAAGTGGGAGAAAGAAACCGCAGAGCCCACGCCCGCCTCCAGCAGCGTATTAATTAGTTAATTAATTAATGTTTAATAAATAATTTCGAAAACAAATCCAAAATCACCCAATCGAAAACAACGATTCCCCACAATCGAAGAAAATACAAGTCCCAGCAGCGTATTAATTAGTTAATTAATTAATGTTTAATAAATAATTTCGAAAACAAATCCAAAATCACCCAATCGAAAACAACGATTCCCCACAATCGAAGAAAATACAAGTCCACGCGGACTCTCTCTCACTTTCTCATCAATTCTTTATACACTGGACTCGATTTTCCCTTCTTCACTGGAAAACTGGAAACCCTAAACCTCCAAATTCATTGTTTTTAAAGTTTGTTTTCGCGGATGGAACCGGCGCTTAGCTTTTGAATGTTCCCGGCAAAACTCACTCCACTTGCAGACTAAATGGTGACGACTCTCAACGCCTCCGTGACAACTTGGATCCGTCACTTACTCGCTTGCATGGGGTAAGTCTTCGATTACACTTAGTGTCTTTGTTTCTGTATCTGCTATTTATGGTAGTTATTCGGGTTATTCCAAATCTGCTATTTTTGAAAGGTTAGACTTGCTGTTTACTGGATAGTAGTAAAAATTTGACTTTCTAAGTGTGGGAGCGAATTTCAGATTATAAATACTTTCCAAGTTAAGAAAATTTTCCATCTGGGTTCCAAAAATTTGAGGTCTTTTTGGTAACAATGGCAAGTTCAGTTTGAGTATTGAATAATTTTCCCTCAGATGTTAAATGAAATCCCCTGGGATTGGAATTTGTATCGGAATCGATGGTATTTAGCCACTTTGAGTGATTGACTTGACATATTAACACTTGTAACTCCCGTATCAACACTATAGAGTCTTTTGTTGGTGGAATTTAATTGTGCAATAAGGTTTAACCTGGGTTTTAACAGAGCAGTGGTTGTTTTGGATGCTGCACTAAACCCACACCAATTATTGCCGTCGATGAGCCGTCCAAGGGATTGAGAATTCAAGGTCGAACTGTTAAGAAACCTGGCATCTCAGATGATTTTTGGAGCAGCAGTACATACGACTTGGACAATAGTGCTCTTCAATCCCAGAGAAGCATCTCATCCATCAGCACCTCCAACCAGACCCTCACCCATGGCAGTGTGGCTGGTAGCACAAGCAGCCAGTCTGACTTTGTAAATAATGGCAAGTTTTCATTGTATGCTATTTATACCGTTCTTATTTTGGTCTGGCAATTCTGTGTTCTCTGTTTAAATATGTGCTAAGAGGTCATGTCATGTTTTACCCATGTCTCTTTTACAATCCCAAACATTTAACAAGAAAAGAGGAGCCTAAAATATATAAATAGAGGGAAATGGAAAAGAGAAAACAAAACGTATTCTGTAAAGTTCCCTAGTTTTCACTACTATGTTGCGAACCTCATGCGTACTGATAAGAATTTAACTTTGCGATATTGAAAGTAAGTTTCTGAAGAAATATGGTGTACTTGTTTATACCAAAAGTTAGCACTCAAAGACATTTTTGATTTCTTATATTTCCTTGTGGTAAATTGAAAGTCTGTTCCTGTATATACTTATAAGCTCCATCTGGTTATGCTAATGCATTATCTACTTCTGGTGCTGGTACTTTTTTGAAATCCTCCTTTAGTCGAGTTTGGTATAATCCTTATCCATGCTCTTGTGAACTTCAATATTTGTAAGTGTGTAGAATGTTGACTTATAGCATTTACACTTTGTAACTGCAGGTCTTGTTCTCTGGAACCAGACCAGGCTTGAGTGGATTGGAAGTGGCAAGCCTAGAAATCATACTCCAACAAGTCGGGAAAGCAGATTAAGGTATGTTACTTGTACTCTTTTACCATTTCCCAAGTAGCTGATGAACTAAATGCTTTTGCAACTTCTTGAATGGAGGAAATTGTATTAGCAGGTGTATGTGGTAGAAATAATATATTCAACTATGGGTTAATCCTGGCTCCAATGTATCACATAAACTTGTATGCTTTGTATTTTAATTTGCATATATCTTTCACCCCATGGTTAACTATGTCCTTACCAGTTGGAATTCAACGTATGAAAGATTGGTTGGAACCAAACAGAGACAGTCTTTCACGCAGCGCATTCCTTTGTCAGTAAGTCCTCTTTTTCCTTTAGCGGTGGGTCTCGTTAGGTCTTCCATCTGATTTGGCAGTTTTGCTTGATATTTGTATTGGATTCTATGTCAGTTTGTCATGTTGAAATGCTAATTGGGTTCATATTGACAGGACATGATAGACTTTCTCGTGGAAGTATGGGAGCAGGAGGGGCTGTACGATTGAGCGAGTATCAGACTCTGCCTTTTAATGTCAGAAAGATACTTGATCTTTGTAAATCTCAGAGTCGTGCTTACATGCCGGGGGCAAAGAAGGAACCGGAACGATGAAAATATGTTTCAAGTTTAATTGTAATTTTACCCAGTGATATTTTCATCTTGTGTGCCCCCATGGAACGGTGGAACATGCCCTCTGCCGCAGACGATAGAGAACCAGTTGCCTTTGCTTGCGTGAATACCAAAAGTATAAAGTGTTTCAAAACTATACTAAACTAAGCTTCATCTCATGGTGATCTTTTGTATGTATAAATGTCTGTTTCTGTCCTTTTTTTTTCTTCCCCCCAATGTGTAAGCATTTTCTATTTCGGTGCCTTTTTCTTTTCTTCTCTATCTTCTTCTAGGAGGGAAAGCAGTGGTGTTTCTTTGAAGGTCAGTCGTACTACGAAGCATACATGCATGCATGTTTCGCAGCCCATGTAGGGTGCAGCGAAATTGTAATTGGACCATTTTGGAATTTGACAAGGACGCAGTTTGACGCATGCAAGTTGTTGAATTGGTTGGCGGGCTGGCCGGCTATTTGATGCATGAACAAGGACGCACCTTTGCTGGTCCAAGTTAGAAAAGGCAAATGCGTGTATATTTGGGGAGGTCGTAATTTGATTTGGTGGAAACAAAGATTGTTTTGTGTCCGCGGAGAAGCAACGACTTCCGTTCCGTATTGGGACCTAAATGGGTACTGAGCTTTTCCTACGGTGTACGGATCTTCGCAGCCAATCGAAAATGCTGCCAAATTAAGCCGGCATTACAGCAAGACCTCTCACACTCTTATCTGGCATCCGCAGGGGCTCTCTCTCCAACGGGAAAACCACCAAGTTGCATCGATTGCCGCTTTTCTTCTTTTGGTTTCCTCCACTTGGTACGTTGGTGTGGTGGTGTGGTGGTGGGTTGAGTGAGAAAGTCTGTCTTTTCTGACAAAGCAAGCCCCCCTCCCATCCAATTCAACAACTTGCTCAACAACTTGCTCAATTTATATTAAATCTCCCCCTCTCCCCCCCCCTAAAAGGGGAGATAAAATACCGTCACCATTTAATGCACGCAATCTAACGGCAAAGACTAGAAATTATGTAAAAGAGAATCTCCCGAGATAAAAGAGAACTCTGCTCTTATTTTTAGATCATAAAAAGTCGGCATAGATAATATTAGGACAAAGACTTTACTTACGGAGAGAAATTAAGAATCAAAGACTCAACAAAACCATTAGACTGAGTCTACATTCTCAACAAATTTAAAATTCTCACTCTTGTTATAAAATATTTTAAATTTATTTGGTCATTTCAGACTTTTGCATTGCCATTGCTACATACATGAACCCTGTGCCAACCTTTTACCTTTCCCTTTATTTCATTTCACCTTTTCATTCATGACAGAGTTTGTTGGCAAGCTTATCTCAGTATTCATTAACTTAATTAAGCTAATTAATTAAGCTAATCGCATTTGTGTAGTGAAACATGATCTTGATGGGCACGAGGATGTTTGTGTGTTATTAGCTGGCATAATTGTCTGCCTTGTTGGTTGGTTTTGACTTCAAGTTGATCGCTCAAATAAATATTAACTTTTGGAAAAAGTAATATGAAACTTTATTATTATTATTATTATTATTATTATTATTATTATAGTGGTACCTACATATTAATTTTATATAGATGCGGACCAGATACAAATCACAAACATTCCAAGAAAGACCAAACACGCATTCTACTTACTTGTACCACCACGGGTACCTTCCTTCTTCTCCACTCCAAAAGGTTCATTACGACCCCAAGGACTGGGGAATGGGTTTTTTTCTTTGTATTTATTTCATTTGGGGTGTTTGGTAAAGAAAAAATAGAGATGTGTACTTTCTTTCCTTGTTTGTTTCTTCTTTATTCCTTTTTCTAGATGAGCATGGAACCTTGTGGAAATTCATTGACGGAGGGAGGAGAGGGTTTGAAATTTTCAAGATATTTTATTTTTGAATTACATAAATACCCTTGTCTTCTTTATTTATTTACCTAGTCGACTCCACATTACAGAAAGAAAGACCCAGACCAAGTGGGGTAGAGAGAGGATCCAATGTTTCTAGCCTTCCATTCGTTCCATCCCTGTTTCTGGTCTCATTTTCAATCCCACCCCACCTCATACCTGGCTTCTAGTAATAAACACCTTCATATTTCTTATATTCAATGCACATTTTCAAATCATTCTTTCTAACCACAACAAACAAAAAAAGGCAAAAGGTCAAAAATGCAATGCATGCATTCTTTTAACCATTTCTTTAAATTTTTTTAGTTTTTTTAAAAAGAGATGGACCAACTTACTTCACTTTAAAGTTAAGTTGTTTAAATTGTTTGGTAAAAATAAAATATATTAATTATTTTAAAAGCAATGACCTTTTGACAGCAACTTTTAAAAGCAGGTTTTGGGTTGCTTTTCAAAGCTGGTTTCAAAAGAAACAGAGATGAGCCTTTAATGAATTTTTTTAATTACCAAAGTACCATAATTCATTTTAAAAAATGACTTCACTTCCAAATCCAACTCCACCACCACATTCATCACCTCCACAACCACCACCACCACCACCACATCCTCCTCATCCTCTGCCACCACCACCACCACTATCACAACCACCAACTCCACCTTCATCTCTTTCACCACCACCACCACTACCAACACATGATTAACACATAACACTTTCCACATCATGTCTATTTTAGTCATTATTCACAGTTACAATAGTTTTATATTAAAAATTACCAAACGATTTTGACACTACTTTTTGTATTAGCAACACTTTAAAAATATTACTTATCAAATATGGAGTTACTTTACTCTACAGCTAATTATTTTCAAAGCATAATATAAACAACTTTTTAACCTGATTATGCGCTTATAATTTAATTTAAGTTAAAAAAAGAAGCAAGTTATCGAAACAAGGAAAAAGTTGGTGAATAATAAAAAGAAGAAATGGTCGGTACGTTGGCTTGGCGGAATCTTGAAGAAAACGAATAGAGGTAGGAGCTATCGACTTTAAATAGAAAAGCAACCAAAAATGAAAAACCCAACTAAGAAAAAAGCCAAATTTTGTATCATCTCTTCTCTCTCTCTCTCTCTCTCTCTCAATGAAAGCGATCCATTGATTGATTCTAATTTCTAACCCAACCCAACTCTGAATATTTGTTATTATTTATTTTCCAAGCCTACTTTAGTCTTGAAAATGTTATATTTTGAGACATACATTGGACCTACAGACAATATTATTTAATTACAAATTCATTGCACATCCTCACATCGACTTTTTAATTTGTCCAAGGGAAGAGAACCAGGTGGCATATGGCATGGGCCCCACTCTCCTTCCCTCATATTCATCATTTCTGATGTATGCATACATAATGCATGTATGTCCTCTATCTATCTCTATTGGGAAACAAATTTTGACCACTGTATCTCTCTATGTTGACTCGCACAACTTGAACTTGTCAATGGATTCAATGGATGCCATGCCAACATTTTACTTTTCTTTCTTCATTCCAATATCAACATTTACTTGCCACAATTTTAGCTTTGTCAAAGCTATGTATTAGGCTTCGATTTCTTGTTAAACACAACACACTAAAATAATAAATTATTATCGATTCCTATTCTAGTAAAGAACGATAAAATCCATCAATCAAACAAATGCAACTTCCTTCACATAAATCGATATAGAAAATTTTATTAATTATATCATCGTTTTACCCGTGCTATTGTGGTTAGAATTAATGTTTAGAGTGTTTGATATAATACAAACAAAAAAAGAAAGAAAGATGAAGTTGCATATTTTCAAATCTTATCCCACATATAGTTGATTAGACATGCCATTGCCAATTTGCCACCACTCTTTAATTTGAGTGGTTTGGTTCCAGCCAAAAACAAGGTTAATTATCTGCTGAAAGGACCAATTAAAAGCCACCTAATAATGGGATTTAATTATGAGGCAGGTAGAGCCTCTTTGCTCCTAGTTTTTTTTAATTATTGCTAAATTGAATGCGTGCATTTGGGACGGTTCTCCACTTAATTTTAGTAGACAATACATCATCAACTCTTTCCTCCCAATTGAACCCATCATCATCATTTATGATTTAGGTAATTGTTGACTGATGATACTATTTCGGCTTAATATTTCAACACTTGCCTTTATTTTATCTTATTTAAACCCGTTAATCAATAAAATTAAATCTCTAGACAATCAGCGATTGATCCGAATTGTTAAAATCCAATCCAATCCAATCCCTATTTATTTGTCCTTATCCAAATTCACGAACGCACACATATAGCTATGAGTAAAAATGACCTCATACAAAAATTATAAGCACAAAGTTGTAGATTACCTTTTATTTTCATACTCATTTTGCTACTAATTAATCTGGTTACACTGTATATCTCATTTTTTAAAATATATTTGTGAGGGCATATTTCTAACTTGGAACTTGTTGGATTCTCTCCCCTTTATGACAACAACAAAAAAATAAAAATAAAATAAAAAAGAGGAGAGGGGGGGACCTTGAATTGAACCACAGTATTTGATTCAATGTATATATGGAAAAAAAATCCATTTAAATTTATAAATTTTCCAAATGAAAGTATAGTATTTGATGTGATGTGATGTGTTGAAAAATGATCAACCCAACTTTATAAACTTACTAATTTAAGTTTAAGTGAAACTAAACAACCATTGGCATACATAAATGAGATCATGCATGATACAATACAAGGATCTTCAGCCCCCAAAATAAGATAAATAAAAGCATATATTATTTTCGCAAAAATGAAATTTAATTTAAAATAATAATATGTATCGTGACACATGCATGAATCTTATAATAAACTCCTATCAAATTATAAACCCAATTAACACCACAAATAAAAAATGTTGTACAATAGAAAATTTAAAATTAATAAGGGCAATTGCGGTTTCCGGTTTAGCGGTATTTTGCTGAGAAAGGTGGTTAGAGTAGGGAACACTGGTTTTGAGGAAGGATTCATTGCATGTAGCAGATCAGATGTATGTGAGAGAGAGAAAGAGAAGATGAGAGCGACACTTTTGTATTTCTCTTTTCCCAATACAAGCTTTTCCCAATGACACATATAAACCATCGCCATTCTCCTCCACAGCACCATACCCATTTCAACAATCTCCTCATTCCCTCTTCTATCTTTTTTTCCCTACTTGTTAGGGTTCTTTCTCAAATGCTCTTTAACCTCTGCACTCTCATCACTTTGATTTCAACGCTTTTCGTCTTCAGCCTTTTTCTCTTTGCCATCTCTGGAGGTTTGTGCTCTGAGGAACAGTCATGCCTGCCCTCGTTAATTACAGTGGTAAGTTTCTGTGTTTTTGTGAGGTTATGATCCGATTTTTGTGGGTTTGGTTTAATGGGGTTTCTTCATCTTGGTCTTGTTTTAACGGGTTGGTCTCAAGTTGTAATCTTTATATCCAATTCATATCTATCTATATGTCCTCTAGCCTTAATCTTTTGCTCCCTTGTTGGTTGAAGAATGCTTAGATTCAATGCCTGCTTGAATATTCAAATATCTTATTAGATTTACCATATTATACATGCTTGTTGCCCTTTTCATCCTCTGGATGTTTGTTTTGTTCGAAAATCCTATGCCTTTTTGTTGTTGGTATTTTTAGGGGGAAAAAGATTTCGCTTAGAAATCCCAAGCAAGAGTGTTTAGAAATCCTATACCCTAAGATTTCGCTTAGAAATCCTATACCCTAGGATTGTATAATATGGTAAATCCTCACATATTGAATTTAATCCGATTAAAATTATTAGTTATCTTTCAATATCATCATCCAGACTTAAGGTTTGCCTTTCAGTTTTCCTTCATTGGGTGTAATGATTTTGACTTTAGATTTAGCTTTAGACTTGAGATGTGGATGCTTGTAGCTGAGTTTAGTTTTTGTTTTGGGGTTTTCAGGTGATGATGATTTCTACCCTGCGGGTTCTTTTTACTCGAATCCCATGGATTTGGGTTGCCTGTTGTCAATTGGCTCCGGTGTGTATTACCCTCCTAGCAAGCGGGCTCGCAATGATTCCCAATTTGCCTTCGAAGGGAGCGATTTTGAGCAAGTCAGGAAGCCTTCAATTGAAGTTCTTCCTGATGAATGTCTCTTTGAGATCTTCAGGCGCCTGGATGGTGGTAAAGAAAGGAGCTCATGTGCATGCGTCTCTAAGAAGTGGCTTATGCTCTTAAGCAGTATCCGCAAGGTTGATCTTTGCAAAAGCCCAGCTGCAGATAAGGTCATTCAACCCTTGAAGCTTGACAATTCAGATGACACTGAAATGACCACTGGTGAAGAAGATCAAGAACTGGAAAATGATGGTTACCTCACAAGGTGTTTGGAAGGGAAGAAAGCAACAGATATTAGACTTGCTGCTCTTGCCGTTGGAACCAGTAGCCGTGGGGGACTGGGTAAGCTATCGATTCGAGGTAGCAACTCATTCCGTGGGGTTACCAACCTTGGCCTCTCAGCAGTTGCTCAGGGGTGCCCTTCTCTCAAGTCTCTCTCTTTATGGAACGTCTCTTCTGTTGGTGACGAAGGTCTGATTGAGATAGCTAAAGGATGCCCTTTGTTGGAGAAGCTTGATCTTTGCCAGTGCCCCTCAATTTCCAACAGAGGTTTGATTGCAATTGCAGAGAGATGCCCAAATTTGACTGCTTTGAATGTTGAAGCCTGTTCAAGGATCGGTAATGAGGGCTTGCAAGCTATTGGAAGGTTTTGCCCCAAGCTGCAGTCCATATCTATCAGAGACTGCAGTCTTGTTGGAGATCATGGAGTTTCTAGTCTGTTATCATCAGCTTCTTCTGTGCTAATGAAGGTAAAGCTTCAGGCTTTGAACATCACAGATTTCTCTCTAGCCGTGATTGGGCATTATGGCAAGGCTGTTACCAATTTAGTTCTTAGTGGTCTTCAGAATGTAAGTGAGAAAGGCTTTTGGGTCATGGGTAATGCTCAAGCTCTGCAGAATCTGGTTTCATTGACAATTACTTCCTGTCGGGGAACTACAGATGTCAGTCTTGAAGCCATTGGCAAGGGTTGCACAAATTTGAAGCAGATGTGCCTTCGCAAGTGTTGCTTTGTGTCTGACAATGGGCTGGTAGGTTTTGCCAAAGCTGCAGGATCGCTTGAGAGCTTGCAACTGGAGGAGTGTAACAGGGTTACCCAAGCAGGGATTATTTCTGCCCTCTCGAACTGTGGAGCAAAGCTGAGGTCTCTTACTCTAGTGAAGTGCATGGGCATCAAGGATATAGGTTCAGCAGTACCTATGCTCTCCTGTTGCATATCGCTTCGATCCCTGTCCGTTCGAAACTGCCCTGGCTTTGGTAGTGCTAGCCTGGCCCTGGTAGGAAGGTTGTGCCCTCAGCTCCAGAATGTAGACCTGAGTGGTCTCTATGGAATGACAGATGCTGGGATTCTCTCGCTTCTAGAGAGTTTGGAGGAGGGACTTGTCAAAGTGAATCTTAATGGTTGCTTGAATTTGACAGATGAAGTAGTTGTTGCACTGTCTAGGCTACATGGGGAGACTCTGGAGGTACTGAGTCTCGATGGGTGCAGGAAGATTACTGATGCAAGCTTGGCGGCAATTGCAGACAACTGCTTGTTTCTTCGTGAGCTAGATGTATCCAAGTGTGCAATCACAGATTCTGGCCTTGCTTTCCTTTCTTGTGAAGATCGGATCAATTTGCAGGTCCTCTCCATTTCTGGCTGTTCTGAAATATCAGACAAGAGCCACTCTTCCCTGAAGAAATTGGGCAAGACCCTGGTGGGGTTGAATCTCCAAAACTGTACTGCAATCAGCAACAGATCAGTTGAGCTACTTGTCGAGAGCTTGTGGAGATGCGATATCCTGGCCTAATCACAAATGGAACAACATGCCTATGTGGCAAGGGAGAGAAGTAGATATGCAGTAGGGGTAAGATCAAGAAATCCAAAGAACTCTAGTTCGACTTGTCAGATCGTAGATGTTAAGTTCATACAGTCAGTTCACACAGGTAGCGACGTTCAGCATACAACATTTTTGGCTCATCAGCAGTGGCCCTGCTTGGTAGCTCAGTCGCTTGGTTGTTTTCCAGGGGGACTTTGGCAGATAATTTCGTCAGTCGTCTTCTTTTTTGCAGGCTTTCTTAACATGGGAAAGCCTGTTTCAACTGTTTAGCCCCCTCATCAATGGGAGGCTGCCTCTTTCATGGCCATGGTTCCCCTAGAATGCAGTCACCAACCGCTGAGACAAGGTGTTTCCACTTGCATTCGGTCCTCTTTTTGTTGCACTGGATGGTTTACCTGGTGTTTTTAGCTTTGTCCTACATTCCTTGGATGGCGTGTCTGATCAAGCTTTCCTTATTTTTCAGTCTTACGGAAGTCTGTTGTCTGAGATTATAGTTTTTCCCTTGTGTTTATTTAGGGGCTTGGTCTTGCACATGTTTATGGGACTAGTTTTCCCGTTTCATGAGCATACTTAGTAAGTGTTTGGTTGCTATATGCGGTTCGAATCCAAGTACAGGTTCCTCCTGCTTTTCGGCTTTGTTGATGGCGGTGATTCCAGTCATCTGTCGTAGACAACCTTGTTTAGGGTTGTTTTTTTTCCCAACCAAGTCATAAGTTTGCAGGTTTCTCCTTGCTTATGAATTGAACTCTGCAACAACGAGTAAAGTTTTTAGTTATTTTTTCATCATGTGGGATGCATTTCTTTTATATAAGAATACATAATTGATGACAAATTTCGATGCACCAGAAAAAAAATTTACAAGAGAAATGAAATGAAATGGCAATTTACAAATTTAGAGATGACAAGTCTGGTGAGGTTTTAGAAGCCAACAGTTAAAGTGGTGTATGTTGTTTATTTACCCTAGAGACGTGAAGAGATGGCGATGAGGTGGTAGAAATGTCAGGATGATGAAACAACTGGTGAAGTGAAGGGGTGAGCTGCCCAAGGCGGTGAAAGCAGCCAGCTCTTCTCTTCTGGTGTGTCTGTTGTCTGTACTCTATGGTGAGAGATGAAAGAAAAAGAATGGCAATTTTGGCTACTCGACTGTTGATTGTGTTATCAATGAATGACTGTTTGTCCTATCTATGCATGTATTATGTATAAATCTAAATCTAAATCTAAAATAATAGCAGATATGAGATTTTGAGCAGATAAGGGACTGGCAGTGGTAGCCTCCTAGCCTACTATTTCTGTCCTCTAACCATGTGGTTGTTCTGAAGCCTGAGATGTTGAGCAGTTAGACTGTCTCTGTGTACAGATTCTCCCCTGTTTCTGAAAAAAGGAAATACCAATTTCAATCATGTCATTCGTATTATGTTTTTCACACCACCCCCTCATCCACCCAAAACCAACAAAAAAAAGAAATAAAAAAGCAGAAGAAAATACATCTATCTTTTAAGAAATCCGTGGACTGAAGGAGGCCTTTTGAGCAAATTGTTGGTTCTCTTTAGCTGATAAGAGTAAATGCACGAACAAAAGAGGCTGTTTTATTTTATGACACCACTGCAGAAAGTAACTTCTTTCTGCAAGTCCTGGAAAGCATGGGCTCTTGATCTTGACTTTGAGAGTGCTTTTCCAGAGCACACATCACACCCCCTCTCATCATCAATCAAAATGATCATGTTGGTAACACACCTTAAGATAACACCTTTATGCAATCCTACATAGAATTATGCAGAAAAAATCCAACTATTTTCAAACTCTCTCTCTCTCTCTCTCTCTCACACACACACACACACACACACACACATGAGCTGATGTGAGAGAGAATTGGAAGCGTTGGGGGAAATAGTTGAGCGAGTTCTATTCCTTGTTGCAATCACATGCAGATATTAGATGAGACATCAAAATCATGGGGTCAATACCATGGCATGTGTTGTTTATAGAAAACAAAGCAAGGGGGGATAATCTAACAGGTTAAAGCCTCCTGGCCTTGCATGATGACAAAGTAGAGAGAGCATTATATTGTAATTTGTACACCAATAATTTGAAAAGGAGGCAAGGAAAAGTCAATTCAGGCAGAAAAAGATGAAAAAGAAAAAACTTGTAACTTCAGTCATTCACGCTGAAACCTAAAGTCAGACAGACAAACTGACAGTTAGCTCCAATAAAAAGAAAATTAAAGAAAAAAAAGCTTCAAAACTAAGTCATTCCCTCCATCATCCTATTGCGACCCCGCAAAACCAAAATAATCCCATCCCATGATGGCTTCTTCAAGAAGATTTACGAATGAGCTAAAGATTACAGTCATTATGGTGTTTATTTTTTCTCTCACATTCTTGCCTTCCAATTCAGGTAACTGAAAAGAACCCATTTAAGTTGAGACATTGTTCTGCTAAAAAAATATCTTGGTTTTGCTGATTTCTTCTGGTTTTTTTTTTTTCTTCTTCTTCTTCTTTCTATAAGCTGAGCCAGTGTTGGTGAGAGATGGTGATCATCAGGGCTTGAAAGAGCAAATGGAGATGGTGTTGGGTTCAAGTCCACCTAGGTGTGTTAAGAGGTGCATGGGTTGCATACCTTGCACGCCCACTCTTGTTGCTTCTGCACACCATGGTAATAATCATCCCAAGGCAGCAAATTCAAATCAGGGAGATGAAAGCTATTATCTCCTCTCATGGAAATGCAAATGCAGGAACAAGTTGTTCCAACCTTGAACATTTTGTTTTAGCTTAGCCAACCTAATCATTTTCTTCCTACCTCCTTCCTATGTACTAACTAAGTAGCAGCTTATGATATATATTTGATACAGAGACTGATTAATCTCACCCCATTTACTTCGATTGTTGCCGTTTTGTATATACTTTAGAAAAACATATCATGACATGAAGGCGGTAAACTAGTGCTTATTTTGATCTCGTTCAAGACATTTCTTTTGCAAAGAATTTTGGGCTGTATGTCTAATTGGATAATCAATACATATGGTAATTACTTGCAGGAAAAAAGGGCCAAAAGAAAAAAACGAACCAAGAATTGTGCTTGCCGTTGGAGATGTTCATCAGAATCCCATGTCATGAACTTGCAGTGAAAAACTCGATACAAGAGAGAATTACTTATGGAATCATAAAGAAACCGCTACATTGGTGGATTAAATAAACAATCTTCATGATTATACATTGGGAGGGTCATTTCCGACACACTAAATACACGGTGACATCTTTCGATGGAAAATTACTAGATTTTCTTTTCATGATTGTAGGCGTAACAATATTGAAACCAAAACTGACCAAAATAAAAAAATAAATACAAAGACTACAACATACGGAGAACACACTAGTATGCTGTCTATTTTCAGTACATGTCCCAACGGAGAACACACTAGAATGCTGCTCACTGATTTGCATCACACCCAAAGGAAATGGATCAGCAAGTCATTGTTCGAAGCAGATTGGAACTAGCCATACCCTCTTTTGGTTTCCAAATAATGTCTTCTAATTTGGCACAGAAATTTTTGTAAAACTGCAAAAAGAATCACAGGAAAGATAAATTAACTGATGCAATCTTGCTTACGAGGAGGAGAAACAAAATAAGAATCAGGTTTGAGAACTCGAGACCCACCAAAAAAAAAAATCATATTTGAGAAGCCAAGTATGATTGGTAAACATTAACGATAGACCTGAACTTATGAAATCCAGTAGAAGCTAACCTTATGATATTCAAGAGTATCTCCTGCAGCCTTTCGAACATCCACCATGAAAAGGGATGGTGCAACTTCATAAACCTTTATAGAAAAGATAACAATCATGTTAAACAGTGATTTTACTGAAATCAAGGCTTCGTTTCAAAGGATAACTACAATGGTTATGCAGACAAATATTAAAGTTACCTCGAGGACAACTGCAAATTGTCCGGCCTTATTTGAAGATATTCCTTCTAGTCTTGTCTGTGGTTCAAAAATTATACATGAGATCAGAACACAATATATCAAACAAAAAAGGAAGAACTAAAGGATTTTTCAGGTAGCATCATCTACAGTGCATATTTTCTTCCAATCCACAGCACAAGGTAAACTCATACCTCAACCAAGATCGTTAGTCAATGTTTGGACTGTATGTAACAAGGTGCAAAAACTTGATTACATAAAGTAAAGGCCAACACTACAAAATCATACCTTGTAATTACGTGTATGGACCTTCAGACTCATTGATTCTGCAACAGCTTCTACATTTGAAATTATAACTTTAGCTGGTTTTCGGGAAACAAATCGAGTTTGCCGGTTTATGTAATCCTGCAAGAGGGAAAAAAATGACACTTGAGAGACAGAGAGACAGAGAAATACAGTAATACAAAATTCGATCAATTTGCAGGAATATAAAGAAATAGTTATCTGTATTTCCAACAAAAAAGTAGTAACAATTTGTAGAAAAGAAGAGAAACATAGCATACAAGGAATAAGAAAAAAGTACTAAGTTACATGATTTGACAAAATAACAAGTTAAAGCCTAGCCAAACGGATACTTGTCAAACTGTGAAGCAGTAATTGGGCACGAGAGATTTCTAAGAAATACGTGGCAGCAAAAGTACTGAAAGCATACAACTATACCTGTCTCCTATCAAACAATGCTGATAGATTTAGCCCTTGGGATAGGGTAATCATCTCAAATGCATTCATTAATAATGGACCGCCATCCTTACTTTCTGATCTCTCTGCTACATATTGGTCCTGTGACAAACCGATAGTGAACAAATACTTTATACTTTAGGTACCAAATAGACTTTGAAATGCATAAACTAGGACAAACAATGAAATCCATCACATTATCATTAATTTACTGTACCCTACTAATCTATAATCTGTACTTCATAAGCATATAAACCACAGAATTGTGGAACTTGCATTGGAAAATTTCTTACTTAAAGAAAGAGTGTAGCACAAACAAATCACCAACCAACCTCAATATCCTCAAACACTGCACGAACATCATCCAAACTCACTTCCTCATCTTCCCCATTTTTGAAAGGCACATAATTTTTCCTAAACCAAGGATCCTTTCTGATTCCTCCAATCTGAATACGCTGCATTAACACATGAAACAGTTAAAGAAAGCAAAGGAGAATCATTAACTTTGTCCCAGTAATGCAGATTTTTTTCTTTTCCCTGAACTGACATTATAAGTCAACCAAGACCCTCCTCCCTATTATAGCACATACTCTACCGGGCATATGGCTTCCAATAAACATAGAAACAAATTGATAAATACTTGTACAAACACACTTTATTTGATCATAAAAATACTATGTCAATTTAACCATATAGACCTTTAAATCAATTGTCTCGGAAATTACTAATATCTGCATATGTTGAAATAAAATACTCACAGTTTTAGGATTAGGATCAAGTATCTTATGTATCAGAGAATTTGCCGCAGGAGAAAACCAATATGGACAGGAAAACTCTGCTGCATTAATCTACAGACAAGCCAAATGAACAGTTAGAAGCTCCTATCACGCTTGTGCAGTACAAAATGCTCTTATAACATCCATAAAGAATAATTGTAGGAGTGGCAAGAAGTGAAAGGAGGGGGGATAAAGGCACAAATGTGTTCTGGAGACCATACTGGTTGTATGTCTGATACTGTGGTACAACAAAGTATGTGAGTAGGAATATAATAGGATAGTGTGAATATATAAGACATCTCAGAAGGGAAGAAAATAAAATAAAATAAAATAAAATTTTAGGATAAATAGTGAAGAAAATGATTGTGTTAGGCATGGACACTGCAATATGTTGAACAATGGCAGCACACCTTTCTATATAGGGTAGGAAGGTTTGTCTCATCAAATGGGAGATATCCAGCCATTAGAACATATAGGATGACCCCACATGACCAAACATCAGCAGCTGCGCCATCATAACCTTGGTCCCCCAGCACCTGTTAGGCAATGGTAGCATAACATATTTAGCATAAGATTTTGTTCTCTCCACCTGACTTCTATAATTATTGCTTCCTTTTTTTGGCACACAATACCAAGTCACGGGGTATCTATCTCATTGATTGGATGGTGTGAATGCAACAGTGAAGTGTATAAAAAATGTACCTCAGGCGCAACATAGTTTGGGGTTCCACACGTAGTGTGAAGAAGACGAACTCCCTGCTCGAAGATTAGGCAATGTAGAAGTATTAGTCAGAGAGATAGAAGAGGAGAGAAGAAGAAAGGATAAAGTTTAAGAAAAGCATATTAAAAAAAGTAAACTTCTCAATCTTGATAGAATGCATATAGAATGAGATAATTCTTACTTGTTGAAGCAATGCACTTAGTCCAAAATCAGAAACCTTCAAATTGCCATAAGAATCAAGGAGAAGATTCTCGGGCTGTAAATTATATCACAAAGAAAATACAGAACTACTCAGGACCACAACACTGTATAGAAATCACAAAAGCAAGTAGAAAAATTAGTGTCAAACTGAATATTGATATGCACCTTCAGGTCTCTGTGGAACACACCCTTACTATGACAATGGGCAACTGCATCTATGAGCTGTTGAAAGTATTTCCTGGATTCATATTCAGGAAGCTTTCCTTGGTGAACCTGTAAATCAAAATTAAGTGTTAAAATATTCTGGCATAAAGATATATACCTATGGGAATGTAAGTGAGTTGGTTATAATGACGATGGTCCCAATTCAAGAAGAAACCTTACAATTTTATCAAACAATTCTCCTCCAGTTACAAACTCGAGAATTATAAATATTTTCGTCCGGCCTGCCAAAACCTAGAATTTGGAAATGAGAGAGCCAAAAGTGACAAGGAAAAGAAAAAAAGCCATATCAGCGGTGATGTCAAGAAGAGAATATATAGCAATTTCTTAATGTTAACAAGAAAAGTCCTCAAATAAATGAGGTGTTTATCCGGCGAAGTATAAGAATACCTCATGCAACCGTACTATATTAGGATGCCTGACAATCTTCATTATGGATATCTCTCTTTTAATCTGAAACAGAACTAAAAGAAGTTAGCCTAGTCATTTGGTCCAAGTAGGAGCAATCATATAACACGAAAATTTAAACACACATATTGACTTATACGTGTGTGTAAAATTGTATTTGGGATTGAAGGAAGGAAGAGCAAGTGAATACCTGATCAACCATTCTGTGCTTGAGAATGGTGCTTTTGGCCAAAATCTTCATGGCCACACTTTCACCGGTTTCGATGTTCCTGGCAAACTTAACCTTGGCGAATGTTCCTTCGCCGATGGTTCGCCCAACCTCATACTTCCCTACCTTCTTCATTGTTATCTCTGTAAGCTCATTTCCCACAAAAATAACAAAACCAAACTCTTCGATTCACGGAAATTCAGAATTTAGGATCTGCCAAGACAAACAAAAACTTCAACTTCAACAAAAACTCCACACACCAAACCAACAAAAAAAAAGTAAATTCAATGAAACCAAGTTTTTGCACTGCTCTTAATTAAGAAAAGATCGAATCTTTTTGTATTGAAGATTGTAGGGAACCGAAGCACCCAGCGACGGATCATGGAGCGATGAGACAAGTCGAAAATTGTGGAATTCAATTCGCGTGGTTGTGATTTTCAGCAATCAAATTGATCACTAATGAATCGGGAGGTGGTGAATCGGAGTGAGAGAGCGAAAATTGGAAAGACGAGAATGAGAACACAATGAGGAACAATCCGGCGGGGGTCTTACCATGAGAATATCCAAGGTATGTGCTTTTCGTATCTCCGGGTGCCCGAATTAAGCTGCGTCTCTGGTTGGCTCCGACGAGGCCGAGGCTGGTAAGAGAGAGAGCGCGGGGAGAGAGATAGAGAGTAGTCCAAATTTAACCGCTGAACGTGGAAATTACGTTTGTTTTTATGAAATTTCCAGATGACGTGACGTTCTTACGAGTATTTATCCAGTTCGACCGATGATAATATATACCACTTTTTTTATAAATATGTTTTGATTTTGAGTTTCTTTTTTGGTCGGAATTTTAAATGTTATTCCGAAGGTAATTACTATCCTACAAAAATCCAATAAATTATAAGTTCGTAATTTACCGTTTGCCACGTGATATATATATATATATATATATATATATATAATATATATATATATATATATGTGTGTGTGTGATTATCACTTAAACAAATTTTAGTATCAAGAATGTTGATAAATATTAAATAAACTGTTTAAAATACTGACAAACACAACCCAAAAAATTCACCACATAATAATAAATTAATTTTTATTGTCTTTTTAGTTGTACAAAATTGAAGCTGCTTTTAATCAAATAAAAATAATTAGTTTGGATAGCCCGTTATGTTGGGCTCTCAAAAAGTCGTAATGTTTTTTGTTTTGTTCATGAAAACAAGTCATTACGTTTATAGTTTTGTTATTTTTTTAATACATATTTTTTAGAAATTATGTGATTGCATTCATAATTTAGCCAAAAAAAGCCACTAATCACAAATGGTTATTACAATAACGGAGACATCTAACAATTAAATTAAGACAATTTGGTGCTCCTTCACTAACGATCACACATGATCAAAGAAACTCCCCTTTGTAAGAGTTTTTTTTTTTTGTCTGAACCACGAGGTGGTCCTGGATGGGCCCCAACTATGGGTGGCACCTTTAAGCCTTAACCACAACCCAGACTAATCCCCGTTCACACCGGGTCGGCCCGTAAGGGGTAAAGTGCTAACCAAAGTGGTGACTCCGTACAAGAGCAGGGATCGAACCCCTGACCTCTCTTAAGGAATGAGAGTGCCGAACCACTCACACCAACCACCTTGGTTCCCTTTGTAAGAGTTTTATTTGTATTGTTATGGCTTAATTTTTTCAAGCTTGATAACTTTTTGATTATTCTGAGTTTGCAATCTTAGTTGGAATGTCTATATCATAGTTTTGCTATTTAGATTGCATTAACAATTCAATAAAATATGAAAATCTAAGCTAAGATAGGAGTTTGATCTTTCTTATCAATCCATCCATGACTTCTTCTGTTTATGTTTTGACTTAGGTGTGAAACAATTATAAAATAAAAGACGAACTGGATTAATTAAAGAATTAATTATATATGTAGGTAGTCGTAAAGCTTCATCAACAGTTAACTTGTAAAGTCAACACTTTTAAATTCGAGCAGATCATTTAATTATTTTGTATAAACAAAACAAAGATGGCGCTATAGGTAGAGATTTGGAGTGATTGCATGTCATACTGTTCTGATTCGTTCAAGATACGGTGCGTTTTACTTTAACTATTATAGACAAAAATAAAAGTAAAATTTAAATTTTATATAATTTAAATTTAATATAACATTTTTTCACTTTTTTCACCTTTTAAGTATTTTGGTCAATGACATACCCTTTTATTTTCCATAAATATAATAAATGCAAAAAAGTGGAATTCTATCATAAAGTAATCAATGGGCTTTATATAACGTGGAGTTTTTATTTTTATTTATGGTCAAAGGGCCCCAACCCAACCCTTCGACTTGAACTGGGTTGGCCACATGGTAGCCCAAACTTGGAAATGGACCATATGGACCATTGGTGTCATAAATTCATTAATATAAGGGATTTTTTAGAAATGTCACCTCAATTAATATCTCAATTTCAATTTATCAAATTAAATAATTAAAGGGTCTATTCTACAAGAGGATTTTCTATTACATAGTATTATATAAATTAATCTCTCGCTATCTCTACTCTTGTGGCTTTTTTAGTGTTCGTCAGTCTACTTCCTAACTTTTGCAACTTGGATTATTATTAGTGGCAATCTATAATCCACGGCTCTCAATCGCTCAAATTTATATCGAACCAATAACCTACCCTAATTTTAACTTTACTTTCTCTCATTCCGGTTCAACTTAGGCTCAAACATCTACACCTCTCATTTCAGCATAAAAAGAATTTTCTCCTACAAGATAACACCTTTATTATATCATAAATTTCGACAACAGGCACATTGCAGAAGAAGAAGCTGACAAGAGATGAAATGTGATTTACAGTGACTAATTGATAACATTATTTGAAAATGAGACTTTTTCATTTTGGATAGTTGGAAGTACGTATGTGGAAAATGACCCTTCACCAAGTCACCCTCGAAAACTACTGCCATGCTTGGTTCCACTTGCCAAATAATGGATGTGGCATGTGGGAGATGCAGACAGCTTCTAAGAACATCAATGCCAAATAGAGGCTAACAAACATATATATATGTCTCTCTGTCTCTCTTTGAGCATGTATAAAAAAAAAATGTTATTCATTGTCATTGAGCATGTTTGAAAATTTCAAATACCTGATTTAAAATTACTTAAGCTTCCCACCCAAAGTCCAACCCCTTTCTTGTCTTCATAGTTTCATTAACTTATGCCACTATGTTTCTATTGAAGGATCTAAAGTTTGCTTGGTCACCATTTATAGGCTATTGAATTGTTGGTTTGGTAGCCGTCATTCCACAAATTTTTAATATGCAAATGGAAAATTACTAAAAAGAAAAAAGAAGAAAAAAATGGACTCAGTTTGGGTGGGCTGAGGGAATTTGTGTGTGGAGAGTAGGTGTTCCATGGTAGAGAGAAAATGATAAAGGGGAAGATGGGAGGGGGAATGTGGAAAGAGGCTGTG